TACTAATAATCATAATCAATTCAATAATATAAATACTATATTATTTTATTATAATATAGTTGTCATATAGTCAAGACAAAACATGCTTATAACGCTCAAAAACTGATATTTCTTAAATCTGTATTCAAACGTAGTTCCCTCTGTCAGCAATGAATCAACAACTACACACACATTTCTATCAGTATTTCTCTGTGTTGTGGTTGACATGATGATGACTGTTAGGAGTTAAGGGGAGAGGCTGAGCATCACCATGATGATGACTGTTAGCAGTTAAGGGGAGAGGCTGAGCATCACCATGAAATGTGCAAATTGACATAAAAATGAATGAAAGGGGAAAAAATGCTCCATGTTTTTTAGGCTGTAAACTTTAACTGTTTTGTAAGCCAACTAAACAGACAGTGTATCACTCTTCCTCCTGTACATTAGCAGATCAAAGGCATAACATACTTGAATGAATGTTAAACAAAGAATGCTGGAAATAACTGCATCTCCATTAGCCTATATGCTATGCAGAGACTGCCTTCTTCATGTCGTGAATGGCAATTGGCAATTTGTCTTATACAACATTCACAAGTTGTACATTTGACTCATACAATAACCCACCTTCGAGTGATGCTCTAGTTTCTTCATGTTTTATTTTTTTCCCCTCTTGCTTGCGCCGGACTGAAACTGTCTTTTCACCGACATCTCTTCACCTGCACTAGTGGCCGTATCAAAGCCGTGATTGGTCAGATGTTGATTCATTGCAACGGTGTCGGGTTACAGACATGCTCCCCTTGTCACCTCACTCTCGCGGGGGGTGCGCAGAGAACGGAGCGGAGAACTGCGCACAGCAGCTGAGGACCTCTGGGCGGGGCCCCCTGCGCAAGGCGGGGCCCCATGCAGCCTGCGTGATTGGCCTGTAGGGAGGGGCGGCCCTGCTCATCCACCTCCACTGGCTGCCGGTCAAGTCCCGCAGAACTTACAAAATCCTCCTCCTTACCTACAAGTCCCTCCATGCCCATGCCCCCAAGTACCTATCGGACATCCTTCGCCCACATGCCCCACCCCGGAACCTGTGGTCTTCAGACTCCGGCCTGCTTACCACTCCCCGCACCAACCTGCGAACCTTCGGGGACAGAGCCTTCAGTGTGGCAGCCCCCACCCTCTGGAACGCTCTCCCTGCAGAGATCCGCAACATCCCCACGCTTGACGCCTTCAAAAGGGCCCTCAGGTCCCACCTGTTTGCGAAGGCCCCTAATCTATTTGTTGTTTGTCTGACTGCCTTTTGTTATGTTTGTTTCTCCTCCTGTTCTTCTCTGTAAAGCGACCTTGGGTCTCATGAAAGGCGCTATATAAATCCAAGCTATTATTATTATTATTAAAGGGCGGAGCAGCGAGCCCCGCAACGTCCCGCCAACACGGCACCCAGACCCCACGCAGCATTCTCATCTGTTTGTCATTACTGGTGTCATTTTCTGGTTGCTAACAAACGCCATTGTAACACATAATCACTGATGTCCGCTGTAACGGTGGTTGACTAATCAGAACAGTGTGGGCGAGCTGACCAATCAGAGCACAGTGGGCTCAGAGGGAGGGGGGGGGGGGGGGGGCAGGAGCTCCAACAAGCCGTTTAGGACAGAGAGTGAATACACATACTATACACAGAGATGCTGTATGAGAAAACCAATGTGATTTTGGAACATTGAACAATGTAAATCTATTCTATTCGAGACCTCAACAATGGAATTATGATCAGCAGAAATGGCCATGTAATGGGACCTTTAAAAATAATATGGCTAACAGAAACTCCTGTTGCTGTTTACAGACAACAGAGGGAATGGTGCACTTCTGGCCACGTGATCAGTGATGTCCCGGCAGGTGTTTCCAATCAGCCACCTAATCAAAAACACCTGCTGTGATACAGGACTGCAAAGCTGCTCCTGACAGCAGAAACACATAAACTGATACATTACTAAGGGCGTTCAGGAGCAATAGTTTGAGTAGGAGTCCCTGCAGTAGCTACAGCAGTAGTCATTTAGTTAATTCTGCCTTCCAGATGCAGTGGAAGCACAGCAGCCATATTTTTATTTACTGGACAAGAGCTCTACTGTTGGGTTGGGATTTAAATGAGCAGAAAAGATACTGCATGTGGCACAGAGGAAGATATCTTCAGGCTGAGACAGAAGGTTCGAGTCCACAAACACAACAACAACAACAACAAAAACACACACACCTGTTTGTATAAGAGAAAGGGAACAATGCAGCCATGTTCATTATTTAAGCTAGCAATTTTCAGCTTGAACATGTGTGGTTAGCTTGTAGGCTAATAGCAGACATTTCAGTTGCTAACGTTAGCATATCCGATAGCAAATTATTGGACATTGTGAGGGCTGCAGCTATTTCTGTCCACTTATTTTTCCTTTTCATTCGTTTGTATAAATAGAAGGACGAAGTGTCTTGTTCACTATCCAACTCCACCAGATTCTCCATCTTTACAGTCTACCTGCTTTGCTACCTCCTGTTTTGGGCTGGAGAGGGCCTACCTAGCAAGCCAGGAATCTTCAGCCTAAACGTATGAGTGCTGCAGCCATTTCGGTCCACTTTGGTCTTGTTTTGAATGTTGTACAAATGGAAGACTGTGTCTTGTTCACTAAAAAACTACAAGTTTCTCCGTATTTACTATCTACCTGCTTTCCTGCTTCCTGTTTGGTGCTGGAGAGGGCATACCTCATTGTTGTTGACCATTTTCAAGACATTCAAGGGAACTATTGGCATTAGCCAAGACTAAAAATATAAAATGCGTTTCCTAATCGCCATTGTTTAGAGCCTCTGTGAATAATACACATTTTTTTGTAAAAGAGTATCAGTAAAACACTGCACTTTTAAAATATACTATCATTCTTCCTTTTAGTGCCATGTTCAGTTAAATTAAAAGAAAATGTAATATAATTTCCTTTTTTTTAATATTCAACAAGAAAAGTGTCAGAACCAAGTACATCTCTGTTTATTTATTGCAATATGCAACAATGTTTTTGCATGTTTTCCTTCATATCTAGCAGTTTCTAAGTCAAACATGTTTGGTTTTATTTGAATGTCAAAACTATCCTGACTTAAGACTGCTCGGACTCAATTGACCACCTTGCGCCAAACAATTGGTGTCAGGCCAGTACGAGTGTGCAACGGTATACACTGGGTGTCCTACCTGAACTATTAAACTAATCCTGTCCGGGAATTCAGATTTTCTGTACCCTGTTTTGGCCCATTGTGATCTGACCAAATCCAGCAAGTGGTTCCAGCTTTGAAGAGCAGTCTAACAATGCATCCTCTTGTTTGGTGCTAGCAGCTGCTGTTGTATTTGTCTTGGCAGTCATCTGAGGTTTAGGGAGGTTGCAGAGCTGCAAAGTTTCCAGTGTCCCAATGTCATGCAGGGTGTGCTTTCTGTGTGTTTGAGTTTGAAACGTCTGACTCCGATTGCAGTATGGTTGATGATGGGGATGGCAGAATGGTATGGCAGCTATGTAAAGTCTCAGGATTTTAGCTTTTTCCAGCATTAAGTTGTCTTTTTGCATTTCCGTCCAAAATTGTGTAGAAATCGTTGTCAGTGCTGAACTTGCTACAGACTGTCTTCATGTCTTGCCTTCCAGCTTTCCCTCCTCACAACCTTTTCCTGCATTAATTTCAGGGTCACTCTGGTGTAAATGGAGCATTGTTCCAGAAGGGGAAGGCGAGCTTTGCAGACAGGATTATCTGTTGGTGTTGAGCCGTGGGATTCAGTTCCTTCTGGATTATGAGCTGGTCAGCGAGCTGCAACACTAAGCTTGTTATTATTGTTTTGGGAGAAGGAGACTGAGTTCTAAGAGGAAAACGTAGAGGAAATGAGGATATAAAGTTTGGAAGACTAAAAAGTGTAAAATCCAGGCCACATATTAAATGATTAAGTGTATTTGGAAGGAAGGACAAAGATGAGTAACGGCAGAAGGATAGAAAATCACTGCATCTGCAAAAACGGTCGTCGGACGCTGGTTTTAATGGAGAGGAGGAAAACATGCTTAGGTGTGCTTTTTCTACAAGCAGTACTGAGATAGGAAACCTGAGGAAAAAGATCAGTGGTGTCCTTTTAGGCAGCAGACATCCTAAGAAAGGCACACTGTCAGACAGACAAACAGGAACTTGACTCCAAAAGGGTCAGGAGCTGATCCCACTGTCTTTCTTTGGAGAACGGACCAGAACATTGCACCATTCTATATATTGACACAGCTCTGTGTCAGAATATCGAAGCAATGCTTGTTTATTCTGTATGGCTCTGTTGCATTTCTTTTTCTTATAAGACTGGCTCTTAAGCAGGTGCTTACACTAGACATGTCACCTTGGTTCCATGTCTCAAGCAAGTATAAATTCATTCTTTTTGGCAGGTCAACTCACAGGTTATGTCAACTTGAGTCCTTAGTTAAGGCAAGTCAAATGTCAAATCACTAACAGCCAGACTGCAACGTAATCAAACAAGAAACACATACTGTATATATTTAGTTATGTATTGTATTGAGTCCTGTTGAAAAGAGCTTTACTTACAAAGCAGTCATCTAACAATAACAAGGCCATTCTGAGTTTGTGCTCACTATACTGGCTAACGGTCATTACTGGTAAAGTTTACAAATGTAGCTTATAGCATTTTTGAGATCCACAAATTGTGATGTTTACACATTTTTAAGCTTTACAACTGTATTTGTACTTCTCATTCCAAACTATTCAAATCCTGACGCACAGTCTGTCAGGATTCTCATGTTTTGTCACGTTTGTAGTTTTGTATGTCTGGTTATGGGTATTTTCCTCCTTGTATATTCTCTGGTCCTTTTCCCTGTGTTTTCCTCCTGTCATTAGTTTCCCTGGTGTGTCTAGTTGTCTGATTGTGTTCACCTGTGGCCCTTGTGTTTCTCCTCCCCTGCCCGGCTGTTTCTCGTCTTGTGATTACCCCTCCCTGTATTTAGTCTGTTCTCTTCCTGTGTTCTGTGTTGGTTCGTCTTTTGTTTGTGACTAAGTCTCCGGTGAGTGTTCTGTTTTGTCTTTATTAGTATCCGGTAGCCTTGAAATAAAGGAATTTTCAGTTTAAATCTGCATTTGGGTCCTGCCTGCTTCACACACCGCAACAGAGTCCAAGTCTTAAACGTGAATTAAATCCTGGTTGTTACAGATTAAAATGCAACCACAATCCAACTGAAAATGCTCTCATCAACAAAGCTGCTGAGCCCAATCACAAAGTAATGTCCATTAAAGGGTGATGCGCAGGATTTGAGCATCATCAGATCTTTAGATTGAACTAATTCATTTTTTTAAATTTTTGTTTGGTTTTTGGCTATCTTTAGGGGGTATTTAAGGATTGAGGTAGGCTAGCTACCAAAATGCTCTCCCTATATGTTCACAAAATAAATTACAGCTGGTTAATGTTGATCATTCACTCAAAAGCTGGACCCTCTGTGCGCTTCACTGAAATCCAGCTACAGATTCAACAATGCCATGAGAGGGGAAATGACCAGTTTGGTTGTATAATAATGAGAAATAAATGTAAAAAAAAATGACCTATCTTTTAATGCAATTTCTATACACCTAATGTTTCCTGAATGACTGGTCTGCTGGTTGATTCCTCTTCCCATCTCCTCAGCCTGTCAGCGTTTTGACTGGGGCTGCTCCAGGTACTGTACCCTGCTGACACTGATGGTTGCACAGTGCATATCCCATGCACTCAGGCTGAAAACTCAACCTGGCATTTTCCTGGAGCTGGATTGGAGAAAGGGGAGACGGAGCACTCTCGCACTGACAGGTAGGTCCAGAGCCTTACTCACGACACAGCCATATCAAGGAAACCAGTGGCCGTAAAAATCCCCAGGATCTAATGCTGCCTGGAAACAATTATGGCGAAATGTATTCTCGGTCTTCCCTCTAAACCACCGGTGTCCAGAGTTCCTCTTGCATCACACAATACTTTCCTTTGGTGGAATGTAAGCATGGGACTACACACTGCTTGGATTATACTAAAACATTCTCTTGGATAGCAAAAGTATTTGATTTACAACTTACTTTGTACTCAACAAGTCATAAAACTAGGGAGGCAGCACTGGAAGAGTAAGTGCACTAACAGCAGAAACGTTTTTTTTTTCTCCTCTGAATTTTACAATCAAGTTATTTCAGCTTTTGAGATAATTTTAAGGTGGTATCTGCAGGGTTGCCAAGTACCTCAAACCTTATATAGCTGTACCCAGGATTTCCTCTGTTGTTTAATGGTGCCCAATAGGATGAGTGGTATGAGTCATCTGTCCACTTGTATTTCCTTCCTGTTTTCCACCTTTTCATTCTGCCAGTCCCCTGTGTTCATCTCTTCATCTTATGTCTCAGTGATGTCCTCACCTCACCCTACATCTTCTCTGTCCTCAAGTCATTTCCTCCCATTTTATACATTCACTCCAACCTCACCCATTCCTTATTCCCTGGTGTCCTTCACTCCTGTGTTCTGCCTCTTTCGGCCCTACGTGTTTCTGGATTAATCACATCATCTCCATCTCGCCACGGGGGAAATCCCCGACGCTACTCCTCACTTCATCTGGAATTAATGCAGGGGAAGGGTATGAGATCCTGAGAATGGATAGTCAGGCCACTTGGAGAAGATACAGAGGCAGAAGTAAATGTATTCTTTACATTAGATATTTACAACCAGGTTGAATGATGCCGAGTAAAAAAAAAGCTGAAGCTGTTTGTTTTTTGTATATTGGGATTTCACTTTGAATTAGAGGTAGTGGTGGAAAGAAGACAGATGCGTAGGTAATGAGTTCAAGGTGTGAAAGAAGGTCTGACAGATTAAAAGAAAGGAAGATGAATGTTATTAAAAAGGATGGTTGAGATTAATGTAGAAAAATAATGCAAAAGGAACTTTTTAGTCAAGCAGCCCTTAAATTTTTAGGTATTATAGCTATGATGTTTTTAATTATGATCCCTAAAAGAAGGAGACCAAGAGAGAGAAACAGTGAAGCAGAGAAGAAGACGAAGACAAGGGCAGTCTGCTTCCTTTGGTCAGGACCAGTGGTGTAGTGGGCGTTGGACGCGGGGGTACGCCGTACCCCCGCTTATTTGGTGCATGATCTTTTTTTTTAAGTCTAATAAATATAAAATCATTGCCAGTGTTATCAGTTGCAAGTGTGTATTTGTTGTAATAATGACGAAAACATAATACATTTCACAGTAATTATAATAAAAAATAAAAACGATTTCCTTAAAAAAGTACGATTCATCATCACGCTCGTGACCTCGCGGTCACTGACACACCCACGGCGAGCCAGCTCGCCGCGCCCGCCGATTTTGCGGCAGCTCCTTCCCTCAAGAACACTAACGAAAAAGCTCTATAATGGCAGGCTAACATGTTTTACTTGACTTCTTTTCTAAAAATAATATAATTCACAAGAAGAAAGAGGCTAGCAGCACCGAAGCTACAAGTGAAGCTGCTAGTAATACATCATCAGAAGAGCCGCCTCAAGACGTGGATAATGCTAGCTAACGTGCACGTTAGCTGCGCTAGCAACGTTCCCCTGGCTAGCTCAAGCTCACCTTTCCCAGAGGTATGGACGGAGGAGATGTGGCGGAGGAAAACAAGAGGCTACCCGTGGATAGACTGCAAAGCTGGGAAACTGGGCTGCAAAGTTTGTTCATCCATTTCGGATTTATCAGTCTTCAAAAACCCAAGGGGTGTGTGTGTGTGTGTGTGTGTGTGTGTGTGTGTGTGTGTGTGTGTGTGGTGTGTGTGTGTGTGTGTGTGTGTGTGTGGTGTGTGTGTGTGTGTGTGTGTGTGTGTGTGTGTGGGTGTGTGTGTGTGTGTGTGTGTGTGTGTGTGTGTGTGTGGTGTGTGTGTGTGTGTGTGTGTGTGTGTGTGTGTGTGTGTGTGTGTGTGTGTGTGTGGTGTGTGGCAGCGCGGAAGCGCTGTCTGCTTATTTGCAATTATAATCAGAATAATGTCAAGTTCAGATTCAATGTTGTTGGCATAAGTATGGCTATATTTTTCGTTTTGTTTATTTAATAAGTTAATTTCAGGACAACTTTGGACATTTTGTTTGTTTGTTATGAGTTTTAAATAGATTTTGAAAGTGGAGAGAGATAGAGAGATAGAGATAGAGAGAGAAGCAGCAGCACTGTCTGCTTAGTTGCAATACTGTAGTGTAGCTTATGCAATTTAGGCCTATACATGGTTTATGTAACGTATGTGCCAGTGTATCCATGGTTTTGAGTCTGTGTGTGTGTTGAGCGCAGCGCCGTCTGCTTTTTGCAGTACAGTAACTAAAGTAGGACTAAGCATACCAGTAGTTTCTGTGGACCTGTCTGCCCGTTTTGTGAGTGCACTGCGCGCATGCGCACTTGTGTGGCATTGTTTGGGATGACCTAATTAAAATAGCGTCCCCCCAGTAAAAAAATCCCCACTACACCACTGGTCAGGACTGTTATGTAAGGATGACATATCTCTGCGAAGTTGATTTGGACAGACAAGTGTCAATCAAAGTTGTTTTAACTCATGGAATTTTTCTATAAAATCTGCTTCATCATGCCTAATTTTTAGTTGTGTTCACTGGCCCATTTCCATGACACATGGTGGCAAGTTGTATCATGGGCCAAGGAAAGGCACTTAAATCTTGGTGTTTAAATGTTCTTTATTTTACACTTTCTTTTTAAACTTTATTTTTTCAGACCGTGTATTTTTTTGGGAAATGGTCTGAGATGTGTCTTTTGAAGAACACGTTCCATGTTTGGACACATATGCTTTCTGTACAGTGAATATGAAGTGACTGATGGCAGTGAGCTGAGCCTAGGACTAAAACTGAAAACAGCTATAGCCTTTCTCTGTCCAGAAGGCCAAAATCCACCATACAGCACCAATGTCTATTTTTTTTAAGGGAAAAGTGTTATTGTTGACTAGAATGTAATGGCTGGAATTAGTTGCGAGGTAACCAGCAGAGATTTGAGGAAGTTAATAGTTCCACAGTTTTTTTTACGGATTAAAAACGTAACGTATAAAGTATTAGTGAGCATTCGAGGTGCTATCGTAGCATAGGCTCAATGTATTTCCTAAAACTAAAATACGTCTTTGATTCCAAATAACTCATCAAGGATTAACATGACTGTACAGTCTGGCTGACTATAAAGCTACTATCCTGGGTTCAAACAAAGACAGGAACAGTACAGAATGCCAATAAGAAAGCATAGACCTCTGCCAAAAGGGTTAGTTCAGTTTATTTGGACACCACATGAATGAAGCACAAATGCTTGCAATCTCGCAATATTAACAAACAATCCACTCCAAAATGTTATTGGTTCACATTGGCCCATGCTAGGACCCTCCACCAATGAAATGTGAGCCAGTAGCTTTTCCGTAATTCCAGAAAAGCAAACAGGCTAACTGAGCCCTAAACATAATGTAGGAGGTAACTACGGTTCAATCGGATTCTGCAGATGCTGCAGACTGTGCTGTGTTGTTGCAGGCTGTAGCTGGAGGGCCTCGCTTGTTTGCAGCTGGAGAACTGAGCATGACCCAAATCAGATACACAGGATAAATAATAAATGCATAGACAACCAACTAGCCATCCTCTGAGGCAGCCATCCAACTTTTGCACCCGTCAACTCTGTCAGCCAGTTGGCCGCCAAATCAAAAAGCAAGCCTGTTTGTCAGAAATATAGCCAGTCAGCCTTTAAGCCGTGAATTCAGCCCGCCAATGACGCAGCTTTCAACAATGTATCAAGCCAACCAGCCACACTGCAGTCATGTCCCCACTTGTTTCCCTGAGTCCCACCGTGACCCCTATATCGTTGTGTCTCCAGTTCCTCATCTCCCTCCTCACTTCTTTGCATTGTTCCCCTATGACCCCCCCCCCCCCCCCCCCCCTCAACCACCAACCCAGCTCTCTGTTCTCTTCCCTTCTTCATCTCCCTCATGTGTAAAAAGGGCAGACCTGTCAGAATAGTTTAGCTACAATGCGTTATTTTCTCTGAGGCATGGACAGGGTCAACTGACCCCAACTGTGTATTTACTGTCGGGAAGGAGAAAGGGGGAATTCATAGCAGAAAGACCTTACTTCGACTGAGTGTTTGACAATTCTGATATTTATTTATTTTCATGATTGGAGGGGGGGAGGAGGGATTTCAGGCCTCGTAATACTACCATTCAAGTCGCAACGTGGAGATGAAATTACGCAACATACCTAGGATAATACTTATTGACTAAAATGGTATAATTTAAGAAAAGGTATTCTACATTTTAAGTGAAAATTCTAAAACATTGATGTGCCACACAATGTTCTACATAGTGTAAGATATCCTAACTGTGCTCTTTAAAGGTATGTTGTCTCACTATGAACTCTGGGTATAAGTATTCTGATGCAGTCAGTGTTTTCAACATGTTACAGGCTGTCTTCAATAGTTTGGGTGACAGATCTAAAAAATACATCCAGGCATATTAGGTTTACTGGATTTGAAAAGACAATTGTCAGTTTTCCCAAAACAATATCCAGATGTGGTTTGCCTGCTGTAAACGTTTTTACATCAGGGTATATCAGGTTACTATATGCAGGGCCGTTTCTAGCTTTTTGGGGGCCCTATGCAAGATGTTGTTTGGGGGCCCTAGTTTTGACAGTTTTTTTAACTACAATGGGGGGGATTCCGAAGCCTTTAAGATGATCTGTGGAGATGCATCAATCTGTTACACTTTAATAGGAAAACAGGCAATAAGGCTCCTCTATGTCAATAAATGCAAGAGATGCAGCATTTTCTCAGCTGTCAGCCCAACGATGA